GGGGGAAACCTCCAAAAAAATTACAAATTTAAAAATCGCTAATTTTCGAAATTTTTTCAATTTTTTTTACTAAAAACTGCCGTAACTTTTTCAAAAATGAACATATGAATATAAGTTTTTTTTTTATAGATGCTTGATGTCTTTTCCTATTATTTGGTATATTTTTTTTGTAAATTTAACCTTTTTTCTGCCCACAGTGGGGGATTTAAAATGAAGACTTTTTCACAAAAAATTAACTTTTTCAACTTAACTTTTGAAAATGTTCCGGAAGGTCTGACACTTTTATATATATCTTAAATTAAAGCTAATATAATGTACTTTAATTTGAAAAAAAAAAATTTGACCTCTGGACTTGTCTTCATGGTGAAAACGGCTACCGAATGCTATTTTTGTGTGAAAATTCTCGATTTTATAATTTACATTTTTTACTTTAAAGTGCTATAACTTTTTAAAAAATGTATGGATCAATACAATTTTTTCATGAGAAATAGTATATATATACATCTTTCATTGGATATACTTTTTTTTTTAAATCAGACTATTTCCCTATATATGGGGGGGCTTCAAATATAAAAAATGCATATAGAAAGTAGAACTTTTTCAACTTAACTTTTGAAAGTGTTTCGGAAGGTCTGACACTTCTATATATATCTTAAATTGAAGCTTATGTAATATACTTTAATTTGAAAAAAAAAAATTTCGGACTTTATTTTATCTTCACGGTGAAAATGGCTACCGAATGCTATTTTTGTGTGAAAATTTTCGATTTTGTATTTTCCATTTTTAACTTTATTATGCTATAACTTTTTGAAAAATGTATGAATCATTACAATTTTTTTATGAGAAGTAGTATTTATATAGATCTTTCATTCGACATACTTTTTTTGAAATCGGACCATTTCTCTTAATATAGGGGGGATTCAAAACATAAAAATGCATATAGAAAGTAGAACTTTTTCTACTTAATTTTTGGAAGTGTTCCGGAAGGTCTGACACTTTTATATATATCTTAAATTAAAGCTAATGTAATATACTTTATAATGGTAAAAAAAAATTTCGGACTTTATTTTATCTTCATGGTGAAAACAGACATTAAACTTAATAAAAAAAATACGATTTTTGTAAAAAAATTCTTTTTTATATTTTTAACTTTATAATNAATTTTTGAAAAAAATTCTTTTTTATGTTTTTAACTTTATAATGCTATAACTTTTTGAAAGATGTATGGATCCACACAATTTTTTTATGAGAAATATTATTTTTTAATATTCCCATTTTCATTCGACATACTTTATTTTAATCAGGATATAAATAAGGAACTAGCAGATTATGTAGCTTTTGGAATAATCCACCAATTTTTTTAAAATTAAACACTATCTAAAGATTTTAATCGAAGCGTTTATTTTTGATAGTGATTTTAATCACTGTCAAATATCATTATACTTGATCCGATTATGCCACGTCACCACTGTGCCGCGACCCCCCTGTGCTGGGGTTTTTTTTTTTTTTAAATGACTTAGTAATTATAATTTCAAAAAAATTATTTTATTGAGTACATAATAAAAATTTATATCAGTAGTAAAATTTATCAAGAAAATATTATTTGTAATTTTTAGAATTTCATTATATTATTTACCATATTAACCGTAAGTATACGATTTACATTTGTTGATTTAGATCATCACAATACTGCAACAATATTTCAATTTTAATACTAAAAACGTTCTGGAATGCTTATAGACAAGCGTTATAAAAATTTCTATTTTTAAATTAAAAAACGCTAGCCTCAATGGACGTCTTTCTCAACGCATGCCAACATTTTTTAACGCTCAATAAAATTTCTCATCGTCTTAATAATTTTGCCAAAGTAATATCACTGAGCTCTTTCATTAAAAAAATATATAGGAGCTCTTTAAGTAATTTTTCCAGCTTTAGCAAATTTTTCAATGTTATGTTAGTAAGATTTTTTTTTTTATTAATTTTACATATTCTTTTATTTAATTTCTTTAGAAAATGTCCGAAATAAACTAAAGGAAACTTTTTTTATCAAATTTATACATCTTTGATCATAAGATATTCTAATAAAAATTATTATTTTATATAAAAAATTAATCAAGGAACAAACAATTTATTTATTTATATTTTTAAATGCTAATATTTTAAATAGTTATCAAACAATCGATATTTGTTATTAAATATTGTTTCCAAGATAATGTAAAAAAATAACATTTTAAAAATTGGAAACATATAATATTCAAAGATGAATTCATTTTCAAATGCATTTTTTTTTATTTTTAGTTTTAAATTATCTTATTACATTGTATTATAAACATATTCTGCTCTTTTGAAAAATTCTTCGTCAGGATTTAGTCCTTGTCTGATATAATAACTCTTTAACATATCTTTTTCATATTGATTTAGTTTGGGTCTAAACCACCCAATGTATACTAAAAATTCCTCCTGCTCATCATCACAATTTACTAAACTGAAGTACAAATCATGCCAATCACAAGAAATGTTTGTACTATTTTGTTCCAGGAAACCATTTTCCACGTCTTTAATTAGCTTATCATCAGGATTTTCATTCCTTCGTAAGTATAAATAACGGGCGATTAAGTCAAATATAGAAAAATCTTTTCTCGTAAGACTTTCACTGAAAATTTCAAATGATTCACTTGTAAGTGGTTCCATACGATGATACCTGTCAACTATTGATCTATCAATTTCATCATTTCCTCCAGTTAGAGATTGTGATTGATCATCAAGTTTTGGAAGATCTTCTGGAACTAAAATCATTCTTACAAAAAATCAATGTCAATGACCTTAACTATGATAAATTCCAATATTTGAATATCAAATTTTAAATGTTACATAGTTTTTTTATGTATATATCATATATTTTGAGGAGTAAATTACGTAAAATCCAATAAATGCATCGTGCAGACCAAGCTACATATAGGAAAAAAATGTTTTTAATTATATATGTAATGAAGTAATAAAATTTCCCTATATTAAAAAATTATTTTTTAACAAAAACAAACATGTTTTCACTAAAAAAATACTAAATAATTGTTTTGAATTCTGTTTAAAACACTCTAAAATTGTATAGAGAACCTATTTTTATAAATATTTGGTCATAGAATTACCCCTTTGAAAGCGTATTAACAAGTTTTTACTATACTTGTTATTAACTTATCTTCTATAATTAATCAGATATACTTTGGAATCCCAATAATGAAAATTGGAACTAATTGATAAAAATTTACTTTTTTATTTAATCTACTCTCACTATTTAGCATATAAGCAGCTAGAATAGAAAGCTTTATGAATTCTATTGTACAAATAAATTACAAATACATACTTATTCCAATAATCGATGTGAATTCACGACAGCATACAGAACATCTACTATAATTATAATGGCCCACATAATAATTGATACAAGTATTACAAAACATGTGTCCACAAGGCTTCAGGGTAACTGTTTTTGGTCTTGTCAAACAAATCAAACATGTATCTATTATATTAAAACATATGGACAATATTACTAAAATTAAATACTTTAAAAAATAGTGAAATATACATCTATCAATATTTTATAATAATTATGTAGAATTAAACATATAGAAAATAATAGTATGTCATAAATTTTACTTTCAGGTGATAGTATTTCTTCAGCTGAAAAAAATATTTATTCATGATAAAATTAATTATATATAACATTTAAATATATTTTAAAAATAAACTATAGTGTACACTAATATTTGTAATAAAGTGCAGTCATACTTAAAGGCAAAATGTAAATAATTTAATAATGTAAATAATGTAACATAGAAGCCAAGTAGATTACATTATAATTTACTCTGATTTTGAAGATATTATCTTCAAATTAACAAATTTATAATAGGTACATTTTTATACTAAGACGTTTTAATTTTAAACTTAATTATTTAAAAATAAAAAAATTAATCATTTAACCAATGCTCCATTGTTCTTCGATACATTGATAATAATGAAGTATGTGAACGTTTGATTGGATTAAAACATACCATTTTAAAATCTAGAATTTCATTGAAACTTTACAAAACACATTAGCTGAATTTGATATACCATTAAAAAACTGTACAGCAAATTCTTTTGTGAGTGCAGAAAATATGAGTGGACTGTATAATGGGGTTACTACAAAATTGTCCAAAATCGTCATCATTTCGTTCATACACAGTGCTACGTCCATGTGCTAAATCTAGTACTACTCAATATTTGAATTCTTGTTTGAATTTTTTCAATTCTGTAGAGAATCATAGTTTTTTTTAAAGAATCATACAAAATATTAGCTGCTTACGAGATTCATAATCCATCAGCGAAATTAGATGCAAGTGTAGCAACTTGGTAGAGAAGTTGAAACGATACTATTGTAACAATATATGGAAGAATTGATTTTAGTTTACTGATGATTTACGAGCAGAAAATCAATCAAAATGTGTTTATCATGAACAATGCATTGAATGAAAAATCAATTTCTAACCATTCTAATCCAAAACTGAAAAAACAGTCTGTTTTTTGTTTTGATGCTCAACAGCTTAATTATAAATACATAAAAATATTAAGATAAATTAAAATTCAAGAGAGAACCCCCCCCCCTGTATATAGGGAAATAGCTCGATTAAAAAAAAAAGTATTTCGAATGAAAGATGTATATAAATACTACTTCTCATGAAAAAATTGTATTGATCCATACATTTTTTAAAAAGTTATAGCATTGTAAAGTAAAAAATGTAAAATATAAAATCGAGAATTTTCACACAAAAATAGCATTCGGCAGTCATTTTTACCGTGAAGAAAAAATGAAGTCCGAAATTTTTTATTTTCCATAATAACGTACATAACATTACATTAGTTTTAATTTAAGATACATATAAAAATGTCAGAGTTACTGTAACACTTTTAAAAGTTAAGTTGAACAAGTTAATTTTTTATGAAAAAGTTGTCATTTTGAATCACCTCTTGTGAACAGGTAAAGGGTCAAATTAAAAAAAATATATATATAAAATGATAGATAAATACCTCGTGTATCTATAAAAAATAATTATATCAATTTTGTCATTTTTAAAAAAGTTATGGCAATTTTAAGTAAAAAAAAATTTTTTAAATGTTGAAAATTAGCGATTTTTAAATTTGTATTTTTTTTTAGATTTTCCCTATTTAGGGATATTTGTTCAATCTTTTAGAGTGATTTATTCGACTAGATACGATTTGTGATCTTTTGACGTATCGTTGAAACAAATCAGTTTGGTGAGAGCTGAGAAAAAGTGGTAACAATAAAAAAAAAACACATCGTATGTAATATTCTTTTGTTACTTAATTAAATTCATACGTCTCATCGGCGATTGCCAGTGACATGCCGACGCCGCTGAGGCGTGTAATAGTTTAATTTTATTTGCATGGTATTTACCGAAAAAGCCATAAATGAGTTCATACAATTTCACGTATGGATTAGCAATATACAAGATATTACTTGTCATTGTTTTTTTACATACATTTGTACATTTGTATACTAAACAAACAATGATACAGTACAAATTACTTCTCGTACCACGTTGTAAAGGACACCTTTTTTTTCAATTAAATTGACATAAGTCATCACATAAAATTTTATTGCTATGATTTATTGTAACAGACCTAAGAGCCCACTGGGATCTGATCAGCCCTTTGACAATCCGTCAAAGAGCCACTTCCATTTTTTCTCTAGTGTTCAGACCTAAGTACTCAGCTTTACTCTTTTTACCTTGCAGCCTTTTATCTGTTTTATATTGTGACTTGGTGTCTTCATTTTTAATATAGTTTAATAGTTTAACTTAAGATAAATTCATGTTTGAATAATTATCTAAGTACAATTATAAAACATGCTTATATAACAAACTATTCTTTTTATTATTTAATATCTAATAAGTCTATATCACTTCCTCTCCTCTTTACTCCGTGGAACGAGATTCGCGATCAAGATATATCAAGTAAGAGTAGTTTTAACACACTAACTACAATTAATAGTAATAACTAATAAAACTACTTTAATTTATAATTAATTTTTCTCTTCTTTCGCTTAAATATATCTTCATTCTAACTTCACACATCTTACGTTTCCTTCTATTAATTTATTTATGCTATCTACCATCTCCACACTCTTTTTATTGGTTATTACACGTAGTAAAACCAATACCTTCTCAGCTTTGCATCGAAGCTAACAAACATATGTGTTTATTTCAATTGTTTTTGAAAAATTTGTCATTCTTGATTATATATTCATTTATAATTCCATATAAAGTTTAATAAATTATTATATTTTTTAAATTTAAGAAGACCATTTTGCGTTATGGGTCAGCATGCTTCGCTTTTTTCTACTATAAGTACTTCAAAGTAGATTTATGAACTACAAAGACCAAAAAATTGTTAATACAATAAATGTATGGAATTTATTCAAAATACTGTAGTGATTAGTAATTTAATTATTTTCTAATTTTAGGTATATATTTCTGCTCTTTTTACTCAAATTTTAGACAATCAGATATTTACTCAAGTGTGTAAGTGACAGTATTAAAGTAATAAAATAGTAAAATCGTTTTCTACATAACGTAAGAAATAATATGCTATTGACTAAACAGCTAAAACCAAAAAATTGAAATAAGTATTTTTCTAAATTATTTATTCATATTATAAAAAAATAAACATTATTATATACAGTAAAACGTTTTTCAGTAAAAATAAAAATTATGAACAATTTAATTTATGTTATCTTACCATTACTTGAATTTACTTTATTTGTCTGCATTGAATGTACTGATAAAATCAAATAAAAAATGAAATAAAAAACAAACGTTTAAATTTAATTTATGAATTTCATATTACCTATTGTAAAACAAAATAAAAATACAACAAAAATTTTATGGAATATCTGAAACATAATTTTTGAATATAACATTAAATCTGAATATTTTATTGCACTTTAAGATGATTTAGTTGTTAGTATAATTGACTATATTGGATATTATATTTAAATATTATAGATAAATGAGCTGCTACAATAACTAGCAATTCTAACTCAATTTAAATTTATACAGTTATATAGAATTACAATATTGATAATTTCATAAAACCATAAATTTTTAAATAATTTCTATTTACGTATTCTATCACTATAAATACAATTATACAAGGTGATTCTTTTTTCAAAATACACTTAGTTAAGTCAAAAATAAAAATAAAATTGATAATTTTTTTTTTATACATTTTTTCAATTTATCGATCACAAATTAAATATTATATTTATCCCTGATAAGGGCGACAACTATAATTTTTCAAAAATAAATATAATTAATAAGGATATTTATTATATAATGACCAAATTAAAATAATGATTAGTCGATAAAAATTTTAGCACCAATATTTTGGAAGTTATTAACATTATTATATATAAACTGAAGAAGTAGTGAGACTAAGTTACGTCTATTGATAGAAATACCAGCACCCACTCTTAACCTCCAGTCTATACTTTAAATCAATTAAAATAATTGTCTGTAGGGTTTCCTCAGAAAACAGTACTACTATTTAATATGTTAAATGTAATCTCACTAAACATTAGATGTTCTCAATATCTCTGAATTTTTATATTTCTTGTTACTTTTAATTGTAATTTTAGTACAGTTTTAATGGTAAAAATTATAATCGGTTTGAATAAATAATGAAAGACGAAATAAACTCATGAAATTAAATAATATCACATTATCTGTGAGTTTTTTCGGTTCTCCTCCGATTTTTTGATTTTGCTATTTTTAGGTCCTACTGAATGAATATCACCTTACTATTGGTGACATTGATTATACTAACACCTTGCATATAATTTTTTGTTATAATTAACTTTTAATTTTAAGATTTTAAAGACTCTTTGGTATCTTTCTATTTAACTGGGGAAAATTTTGGTAGACCCTTACTGTAAAATTTACACAAACATTGGGACCGACGCTCAAATATAAATTCACAATACTTACAGATTTTTGTTCCCATCATACCAGTAGAGACCATAAACTATTTTAATAGTGAACCAATAGAAAAAATATATTAAAAACGACACATTATAAGTTTAAAAATTTTCTTAAAGGTTAAAAGGATTTAGAGATAATACCAGATAATTTAGATTTAATTAATAAGAATAGGAAGAATAGCCATCATGCTACAATACTGATAGGTTGTGTGATAACGTTAATGATCTTAATTTTATTTTTAATTTTAATAACATAAGTTATTAAAATCATTTATTTTAGCATCTTATTGCTAATTAATATTATTTTAAACTTTGATCATTATGATAATTATTAATTATTAATAAGTATTATTAATTATTTGAAGGGCGCCTATCAAGTTCCGCTATAAGAAATACCTTCTGATGACTGAGCCTTTAAGACCAAAGCCAGAACAGTTTTTCTTGACACGAACTTGAGTAGTGTGATTGATGAAGATTTTCAGATTGTTCTCGCCGAGGAGGATGCATACTCAGGCAAGGACAGCGGGTTTACCTTATCCTGTGTTGACTTTCAATTGTAAGGTGTATATAAATACACGCCCTTGAGTAGATTATCTTATATAGAGTTACCCTTATTATTTATTATTATTATTAATAAAAATTAACCCGCAAAATATTGATTACTGCTGTTTTAAGTGAGCAACTTTAGCGAGGCACATTAGGGTTGGCAATAAGTCTTACGTCAGTCGAAAGTATTTTAATGAGGAACATAGATAAAAATTTTCTGGATTAATGTCTCCCACACCAATATCTAATATTAAAATATTCGAACGACGTAACCTCGACGTGTTCGTCAACGTGTATGGTTTAAAACAGTAGACGCAATGAAGTGGTTGGCGTATCCGTTACGAGTGGTCCATANTGAAATGGTTGGCGTATCCGTTACGAGTGGTCCATAAAGAGCCGGATAATCTCTTTGACTTGTTGTACATCGATGAATCAGATAAATCACACTACGCGTATATGTCGAATATTTCGAGGCTCGTACGCAGCCAAAAAAAACCCGACAATGCGAACAAATCTACACTTGTAAAAGATGTTTTACTAGCTTTGACGATCAGACTGAAAAACATTTACTTACTTGTTTTGAAGGTTTAGAACAGCACAAGTGGATATGCGATCAAAATAAAAACCGTATTGCCCGTTATGCCCACCGAATATAGCAATGTTGAGTTTGACTAGTGGATGAAAACGCAGCGATTACCGTTCGTCATCTACACCAATTTAGAGGCCTTGTTTGAAATAAATATAGTTTAAAAAAACTAAAAAAATACGCTTTTAAACTATATTTATTTTTCACTTTTTAGTTTCATGTTATGATAGTAGTTACTATCAATATCATGGTTGTAATGGGTAACGGAAAATCAGGGTTCGATTCCGGTGAGGGAGCTGAGAAACGGCTACCACATCCAAGGAAAGCAGCACACGTTCAGGTTAGCGTAACTATTGAGCTTTACTGAAATATTTATTTGGAAAAAACTCCTGTAATTATGCATCATTGCTTTGTTACCCGAAAATAACTGCTTATTAGTGGGGACATCAAAAATGTGGGTAAAAAGGTTCATGACCAATATGTCAATAGAATTTATTAAACTTCTAAATACCTCGGTGCTTTAAATAAACACGAAAATGTTTAAATATAAAACTCAAAACGCAGTTATATATAACTTAAATTTTTTTTATTCGACTTGTTCTTATTTGTACAATAGAATTGTAGTAAAAACAAATATTCATTAATATGAATTATTTAGAAATTAATTCGATTTTATAGATTATTTTATTCGTATGTTAATATATTGAAGAAATTAAAAAAAAAAGTATAACGCTACATACAGGGTGTTCAGTAAGTCAGGAAACGGGTTTCTATTGTTCTCATTGTTTGTAACAATTTCCTGACTTACTGAACACCCTGTATATATATTTTATACGAATTGGACAAAATTAAAATAATCTTCGTATAATATTGCGGCACTTTCATAGGCGGTTTCCGGCAAGATTCTCGGCCGTCGAAAAGTTAGCAGCGTTAATGGCGACGGTACGCGGATGCAGATCGGTTCGGTCGTGCGGCACGTCAGGAGCCGGTGGTGTACGTCATCGACGTTGCCACTCTAACAACGGGAAGAAGACTAAACGTATCATTTGCGGCGGGTCATCGTCAGCCGTGTGGCACTTGCTGGACTTTACACCGTGGCGTATGGTCACTTATACTAATAGTAGGGCGACGGCTGATAAAGGTGGCACGAGTGACGGGGCCGTGTCTCAATAAAAATTTATTTACATATATATATAAATAAATAAATCACTCTGTATATATATATTATATATAAACAGGATGATTTTTTTATCATAACCCACTCAATTACTTACAGAATAAATATATTTAAAAATTTTTTTTATCACTATCTTTAGTTACACATTATTCTTGAATTATTAACTATGTAATACTTTTTAAGTTCATACCTTATGCCTGGTAAGGGTGTCAACTTTGTTTTTTTAAATTGTAACACATATTTTTAATTTAATAAAATGTTTGAGTTTTAATTCAATAGTAAATGGCATTTGAATTTTTAATGAAACTTAATTTGTTTATTAGATATAAACATTTAAAGTTTCAAATTTTTGAGTTAATATACATATTGAGGTATAATGCACAAGGAATTACAGATACAGGTAGCTAATTGATTTTTTATGTTATTGCTATCACAGTCATGGATTGTTTATTATCAATTATGACTATCAATAGATATACTTTTTGTATTGTCAGTTAGTGTATTTATAAACTCACAACAATGTACCTTACTATCATTGATAATAACAATGCTGTGTTCCTGCTAATATCTATGTCATAAAAAATCAATTACTGTTACGATTGCACTAACTCCTAAAATAGTTCGTGGTAGATTCAAATAGTTTATGAAATTATTATTATAACGGTAGTGTACAAAATGAGATGTATAAAACATTACCGACATTATCATTTGAAATAACGGCCCCCTATATGCAATAGCGGTGAAAACAACGAGATTAAAAGACAACCGGCAGTAATATTGTTTGTTATTTATTATTATTTCATTTTTTTTTTTCTGCACAAACATGTAGTCTTACAAGTGCCCTACTAAAGAACGTGCGCACGACTTGGTTAATTTGTGCGACACACACGGTCAATAGCCACCGGAAGGTGACAAAAACTATTATGTCTGTGTTTTTTTCTTCGACATCAAGTCACCGGCTCCTATGATCATTCGTCTTACGGCTGCTGTCTCCTATCATACATTAGCATCTCTTTCGGTGCGAATTTCTTTCCATTTATGATAACTTTTTTTAGTCAAAATATTTTTTTTCTACTTTTAATATTTCGGTTTATTTGCCGGCAATGCAGATTGTGACACGTGATGATACGTGACAATCATTGACGGTTGCCTTTGAAGTGCTCTTTGGCGCACTTTGTGGTCGCCGTNGCTCTTCGGCGCACTTTGTGGTCGCCGTCACACCGACACTGGAATATTATATTGCACTCGAGACGACCTCGATAACATGTCAAACCCGTAGCCAGGGTTTCTCTTCTTTTCTTTTTTAATGTTTTAAAGAAGAACTTTCCCCGTGTCCTTTTACGGACAAGTCATGTCCTTGGAGGCGTGTTATAAACGTACGTATGACGGTTTACACTTCCTATGTACAATACGACGTAGGTGACACTGATCTATTTACGAGAGGGCGTACAAACTTTTTATTTTTTACACGGAATTCGCTGTAAAACAAACAGCGCCCCGTCGTATTTGATTTATATTCGAATCGCCTCTCATTCTGAGTTGCTGTTCAGCGCATAAGTATGACAACAGCAATTAATTAGCATTTGGCATCCAAATAGACACTGCGTCAGGGAAATTAACCTTGAGCACTACCGCTCTGAACTATTATCCACTAACTACTCATCTGTCCTTGATCACGTCGCCCCGTGATACGCTTGTATGTTCATTATTGTTTTCCAAGAATCGCATATTTC